TTATGTGAAACTTATAAAATGATCAATCTTAGCAAAATCTTTCTTACTGTTAAAATATAAAAGTCGAAATATATGTGTGTGTGTGTGGTAAACGAAAAAATAAAAGGATCGAGTAGAGAGATACCGTTTAGTACACCCTACTCTTATTCCTTTCAATATTTTAATGCCAGTCGGCGTTACGAGTCTTTGTCTTGGATTGTCCCCTTCCTGCGCGTAGTGCAAAGGGGTTTTCACCATCGCCCAAGTTGTACTCGAGGATGAAGCTTTATTTAGCAGATGATATTTACGACTTCCAATCCCGCGAGACCCTCCCAACTTTTATATTGTCTTTGGCAGAGTTACGCTTTTGGCGATGCTGCCACCTCCCGCTTCGCTTCCCCTTTCATCGACTCGTTCTGTTCGATTCGTTCGTCTCAACTATTGAAAAGATGCTGCCGGCGATTTGGAAAGCGCACCTAAATGGAATTAAGGTCGTTCACGGTTTGCCATAAAGCTCGATTTTGAGTTGAATGTCTATTTGAATAAAAAAGAAGACTTCAAGAATTTGCCAATTTGAAATAAAAATTATTATTGAGATTTCGGTTACTTCTATAACTTTTAAGAAATATAACTGTGATACGGATTAACATGTTTTTCCTAATTGTTAGATTATCGTACGTTGCGAATCTTTAAATATTTTGTGCACACGAGAAACAAATACGGATATATCCGCCTTACCGAGCCACCCTTCATTCGAAATATCGTCATCCGGAGCACGGGGAGTCGCAAACACCAGAAGCAAACATAATATGACGAGCGCTTCGGGCTACACGAGGAACAAACCTCTTCTATTACAATTATTTCTGCGTTGACATCTGATCCTTGGGAGTCATGATGGACTGATCCTTTATAAAGCAATCCTCGAGTCAAAACTGATCTTTGTAATGTATGTACAAAGTGTGCACATTACTGTAGAAGAGATTTAATTTGGTGAAATTAATTTTGGAGACTTAACTTTTACAGAACGAGAAAGTCAATCATAGCTCTGAAACAGTGTTACTTTTTTGAGGTAAAGAATATAATAAATAACGAACTATAACAGATCTTGTTAAAGAAAAATTGTAAGATTTTAGAAATTCTACAGATTTTTTAAATAGACCTTCGCTTTCTAAAGGTTAATAGAATCTCAGGAATTCTGCGTTTAATAATCGCGTGTTTTAGATCCAATACAACTAGCTTTAGCTCGCGAAAGAAATTGTACGACCGACCGATCTCATTGCTGGGCTGTCGATAGTAACGCTTCATTTTTCATCCGGCTAACCGAATTTGTCGAACTCGGACCTGCGCCAAGGGTGGGATCTAATTTCAGGGCCATTCCGATGGATACGAGCTTCCACCCTCGTCAACCGATAGTCGTGAACTATCATTTGTACGAATTACATCGCCATCCCTCGTTGCATCGTCGATCGTTTGTTATTATTAGCTTCAGCGTGCTACTTGTAATAGTTTTGTGTTACCTTCCGCAAGACAAAGCGGACATCTTACGTTATAGACAGTTTTGTTTATATATTTACAATGTCTTAAAAACGCATTTTATATCAATATAAATATTTGCACAGTAGAATGAGATTGCTGCTTTAAATTTGCGTGCAGCTTTAATTTTAATTGATATTCGCGAGTTCAGTGGAGTTGAACAGTTTTTACAACTACATTGTAACAAATTGTTTATAATTGTTTATAAACCATCTGATATGTTTTGAAAATTACATAATTTTACTTCTTGGACTTAAATTTTTAAGATAAAAACAAAATCTTTTAATGACATTAAGCCAAGTTATATTATTTTATTTATATTTCTTATTATATTTTAATTTAAAATATATTGAACTCACGAATACCACTTAAAAAATTTTGGAGAGTCAATACTGATTAGAGTGAATTTATTTCAAAAGATAAGTTTATTTAATAATTAATATGCTGAATATTGAAAAGATAATAGTAGCTGTAGTGAATCTAACTGACGTCCGAACCGCATCAAAAGAATCGACAAAATAATTACATCATGCGGCTGGATATTCCTAATCTTTCTGGTTGAAGCTTTCATCTTCAGGAAGCATGAGGAGACCCTGGTATCTGCTGATAGGATTCGAGCTTGTCTCGATAGTAAGAGGGTGGCAAGGGGGTTGCGCGCGATGCGATGGAAATTATACATACATAAGAGGAACGGAAGGTGAGAGACTGGTACGTTAAAGAAATTAGAGAGATAATTCCTCGGACGAATACCCAATTTACCCTTTCGTCCGTAGCGAGCGCCCTGGCCTTATTATCTAAAGTGCTCGGCTGGCGAGAGAGGGTAGGGAAAAAATAAAAAAAGAACACCCTCTCCTAACGGAAAAGGCGGAGGGTCGGGCGGGGCCGGTGGCAGCTTGGAAGGACAAAAAGTAACTAAAGTACACTTCCAACCTTCTCCTAGCGAGCGTCGCGCTATCCGGAACTCGGAGCGGCAGCGGGATGCTGGTGTGCTGGGAAAACTTTTTTCGGCTCTTATAATTTATTTACGGCTGAGATATTTTTCTCTGAGCTTCAACACTTTCGCCAACGTGGAAAAGGGGTAAACGAGCACCCCTTGAGCGATCCACCTTTCTTATTGTATATAAAGATGCGATTGCATCTTCCTTTTCTTTTCTATTGATATGCTTATATTTATCCTTATCTCTTCTCTTTTGGTGCGTCTACATTTTTAATTTTAAATACGATTCTATGTTAATCTTTTTTTTCCTTACTCGTAAAATAGAAAGTGTAATAATTCTATATTTATATAATACCTATATGTACCATTTATACATTTATAATTTTTTTTTTAAAAGTTAATTAGGAATTACAAATTGGAATAAAACATATTTGATACAAATAACCGATTCGTATGTTAAACGATAGTTGCATTTTCTCCGCATTTAAAATAGCTGTCAGAATTTGTGAAAGACACATAGAGCTTCATTCGTTATCGTGATCGAAAGAATCAGCCAATCAGTCCGCGAACTGTCCCGAAATGCATTTTCCTATATCCGGCGACTTGCTGGCGGCGGTTTTAGTGTCGCGAGCCTGTATACGAACTATGCGCCACGAGAGGACTAGTCTTTGTCGCTATTTTGGGGAATGGATGCAGGGACGACGCGAATACGTTCGATCGATGAATCACTCAGTACACCGTGACGTTGACGCGGCGCGTTGGCGCGAGGGAGACGAGGGCCATGAGTTCCATGCCGGAACTGGCCGAAAAGGGAGAACGAGGGGGATACTGTTCGCGTAGAGGGGTTGGATGCACCCCGTCACATATACATATACATATATATGGTATGGCGGCTCACCGGTTGCGGGTGCAGCCTATGCAGGTGCGGGTGTATTAAAAAGCGGGGGTGGCTGCGGTCGCGTACCAATCACCCGACAGGGACGAGGGGGTGCCGTGGGACGAGAGACGGGCTACGGGGATCGGATAGAACAGCAACCGGACGATCGGGGGTAGTCACGGCAGAGAGGGATCATATAGAAACGGTTCGTTGAAAGAGAAAGAGAAAGGGAGAGAGAAGGGGAGAAAGAGGGGACATAGAGAGAGAGGGAGAGAGAGAGAGAGAGAGAACGCACACTCGAGCTCATGCAGCTTGCCGTGAAATTTTAATCGTGTCGTCATTGGGGTAGTTTGTTGCGATAACCCGACCAGCATAGACATATACGGATTTCGGGGAAAAAAGAGGACGAAGAGGGTAGAAAACCGTGCCGTTGCCGAACATAACCGTCCTTTTTTTTACACGTTTTTTCGTGCTTTTCTGGGGACGGTACATCGACCACACGTACTAAGCACGACACGCGTTACCCGTTGCATTCATTAACGGTACGAAAGTAAAAGTTGACTGAAATTTATTTGTATGCCGGAAATTTGGATATTTCTAGACAATTTGTGCGAACCGCACAAACTGATTCTGTTTCACTTTCAAATTTCATAAAGATATTTATAACAGAAGAATATAGGCAGTTTTGTAACAAAGACACGTATCCTGTAACGTATAGATGTCACGAGTAATCGCAGGACGAAGACAGATCGATTTTCTGAAAAATGTGAAACAGAGAAAGATTTGTGTGGAGGCGACGTGTCGGTATGATTGCTCATTTGATCCGATGCGCATCGGAAAATAATGTAGAAAATTGTTTTGCGGTCTTTTTATCTTGATTTCAGGGACGCTGGTCAGCGCGCGGGGTCGACGGGTGCTTTGTCTGTTTTCCATCAATCACGCGGACCTTTTCACCGTGCGGATATCGAGCCTGCCCGTTTTTGCGTGCGGTGCATCCCGCTCGATTGCAATCGCGGCGAATTATTGAATCTGCTGCATCTCGTCCGACCAGATTAGGTTGCACGCGCGGATCGTTCGATACACGATTGCAATTTGTTCACTTTATCGCGAAGGGCTGTAAGAATATTTCAGGTGCCATACATTTTTAAGAAATAATGAAAGTAAGATATTTAAAACAGTATTAATGTCAATTACTTAATGCGACATTTTTTCAACTTTGATTATTATGCAAAAAGAATGTGAAGTGTTTTATTTTTAAATTAATTACTATCTTTATAAGAAAATAACACGTTTTAACGAATAATAATTCTATGATATATGTATATAGTTATGATATTTAAAGTACAATATGTAATAAACAATGATGCACTTACCAACTTATGAATTGCATGACACGTTCTCAGTGAAATCAACTTTGATCATATAAGAGAGTAAATCAATATCATGGAACGGATGATATTACTTTATTTGATGACGTACTTAAACAATGAATGATTTTGATTAAGGCCAGTAGTCACGCATACATACAGCGTCGTTAAAACGACTCGTGGATCATATAAACAATAATTACATAATGACATTTTTCTATGGATATCGATATCTTTGCTCCTAAAAAATGATAATGTTTCATAAAAAAGAGACAATAATAGCTTGAGAAAGAATGTGACTCGGCCAGGATTTAAATTTTTCAATATGATGATATATTTACAACGTAGACTGCTCGTAATTTCGCTTGTACCAAGAAACCTCCCAAATGTCATTTGCCACACGAGATTTTCTTTCCTAAAATCGACGTTACAGTATAGTTCGAAGAAGATGATAAATAAAGGATCACGGTAAATCGTACGTCCTGATTTACGAAATTCGTTCTTCGGGAATAAGATACACACGCGCTTCAACAATATTATTCGTGTAATCCATAAGACATTCAGAAAGTTTAAGTATTGTTAATCGGAATGACAAGAGGGTAGTGTGTTCAACGTTTACTTGAAACATTAATTTATATAATAATCGGACGTCATTGTATGTACATACTATATATGTGAACGTAAACCCTGGTTAGTCCTCGAGTCCTTGACTGTTCTTAGACGATACCGCAACGGGCATACGAATAGACAAATAACGTTGACAAAAAAGTTCGTCCGAAAGTTTTGATATTTAATTTTCAAGCAGACGATTAACCGTGTTATATTGCACAAGATGTTCGAGCATTCAACGGGCGTGTTCCGTTTATTCCTCGATAACTTCACGATGATGATATATCGCTTAGCATTGCTAAACTAACTCTACAACATCGTGCAAGCTCCACTTTCAGTCTCGAATTATCGAGAAGGAATTAATCAATGTCCGCTGATCTCTTTTCACGGAAATGACATTTTCTTCTGAAAAAACACACGATAAAATTTGCCTAGATTATATTTAATTCAATCTGTACTCCTTCGACGATCAAATCTATTCCTCGCCTTGATCATCGAATTCGTTAAAATCATTTTCATTCAAATCTCGTTTGAAGGATTCTCTCGCAGTACGAACATACTAGCTTTAATTCTTAATAAGGTCTCCACACATGTCTAGGTTTAGGACTTCTCTCTCTTCGTGATCTGATGGCTTCTCTTTCGACATCTATCCCATCCTCCTTTCTCCGCGTCGTCAGATCCTGACCGACGTTTTCCTTATCCTGACCTTTCTTCGTGCTAAGATCGACCGTACCTTCTAAACGGATTTTTACGGTGAGATCGCCGCAACGGGCAATCTGATCCTGATCGATTTGGAGGTCCGAGTCGTTTAAATTCTCTATACTTTGTCGTAGATGAATAGATGCTTCTTGAAAGGTGGCGTCTGTAGACGCGGCATCCTCCAGGTCGCTCCTCTCGATCGGCGAGATTCTTGGTGAATCTTGCTCGGGTATTGACTCATCGCTTCTAATGCGGTCTCTATTTAGATCTTGATCGTTCTTATCATCCACTTCGATGCTATCGTCAGGACTATCCAGTCCGGATCGACGTAAAGCGCCTTGATCGTCTCCTCTCCGTTCTTCGTCCTTCGTACTACTCTCGGGACTGTCGCTGCTGCTCCTAAGTTTCCTGAGTTCCTCCAATCGGGCCTGATCCGGCCTCTGTAATCGCTGTTGAGCCATTCTCAAGGCCAAAGCGTGCCATTCCGGTTCCAGAATGTACTGTTGCGTGTGATACAGGGGATTGTAAAGCCAAGAGGACTGTGGTAACAATGGCGCGAATATCGATCCAAAGATGGATCCCGTGGCACCGAGTAGATGAAGACCTGTGTGTTATAAAACAAGGTATTAGCTGCCTCGGGTCATGCATGAAGATTCGAATCGTTGGATTTAATCTCGGATTATACGTATCTCTTTTACCTTGAAAGTGTGAGTGATGTCCAGACGGGCTGGGTGTCGTAGTAGTAGTGGTCGACTCGGCGGGAGGCGTCGGTGCCGTCACGGAAGCCGTCGTCAACAAGCCTGGTCCGGGGTTGCAGGGTGACGTTGTCGGCGTTACTTCCCTCACCGACACACTGATAGGACCCAAGTCATTCCTCGAAGATTCTTACAGACATATCAATTACACGCCTATTAATCATTTAGTCTCGTTTGAGAAAATGCTGCATGTTATTTAAATAAAATATTCACTTGCATGATTTTAACTTTCTTTGACATTCTTATCCTTTTTTAGAGAAAATATTTACCGGCATTAGGCCCAGGCAGCCTCGGAGATCTCTGCTCGATGGCGTGATGGAAAGGGTTGAAGGCTGATGCACCAACAGGCTGTGGATGTGTGTGCGGATGATGACCGGGAGGCGGTGGAAGACAGTGCGGCGGTAGAGATCCTCGGGGTAACCCGCCCCATCCCTGGCTCGCTCCTTGCTCCAGACCCAGGTGTTGCAATCCTATGCAATCAAAGAAATGCAGATTACACGTTTCCAAGGATTCTGTTTGTTCAACGTCTCCGCTGTCATCACGCCACGGTGACCTGTATATCGTTTAGAAGAAATATTTGCAATGAAAAGGCATGTTTACTTTAGATGTTGTATACATCTATAGAATTAAAATAATGTAAAAATATTTAGACGTCTTAATGGTTATTTAAATGGAGAGAGAAACTCCTGATATTATAAACTAAAATGCAATTTTTTCAAAACGGAATAACGCAATGTAGACGACAGTATCTGAAAGTGACTGATATGATCGTTTTGTGACAAGACGTAACATATTTCTGGGAATCACGGTGGCGTTGTATAATTTTTGGCAGGTAAACGGTGATCGACTGACAGTTCGAGTCGTAGAAACGCATCCCTTTGACGTAGAGGCGGTTTTGACGTGGATGGACAGTTAAATTTATCCAACAGAGAATGCAGAGACGATCGATCACCTTTTTTTCGATAATAGCCAATATCGCGTGGCCGCACAAGCATGTGTTTGAATGCAATTAAATTTATGACATCAAAAAGTTCGTTCAAGGGTGATCGGTTGGACAAACCGACTGACATAAGTCGCCTCACTGCTCTTACTGCACATTCATTTATAAAACAAATTCAATTTTATTATTCTTTAAAAACAACACGTGCCTCTTTTATAAAGATCACTTGCAATGACGTCTTCCGATAATTACATTATCGAAAGATTAAAAAAAAAAAATCTATTTCTTCCGATTTGCATAATGAGTAAGTGACGTAATTGATTTTCGGCACGTCGCAGTGTAAGAAGAGCGGTGCAAGAAGTAAGCACCGTGGTCATCAACGTGGTATCGGTTTTTCGAAAGACCTTGATCAATAACAGATTATGCCGTCATCTGTGCGGGGCAGTTTAAAAATTCCGTGAAGGCTGCCGCGAAGCCACCGTGCGCGACGGGGGGGTAGGAGTTCTGGCGGGGTGGTAAACAGGGGAAACTTGCTTCAACGGAGCGGGGAGAATTGTCCGGTCACTGGCACGAGGGCGTGACCATCAAGGCACGCAGATCGCCCCATTGGTTGCCTGTGCGCTCCCACCAGTCGCACGGCGACGAGTGGTGGGATGCGAAAAAGCTCAGTAGGGGTCGGAGGGATGATTTTTAAGCTCTCTTTAAGCCGCGCGCGCTCGCCAGGGAGGACACCGCTATCTCGCGTCGTACCACACCAGCGTGGCACACTGAACGGACTAGCCGTGTGAGAGCTCGTAGCCCTCCTACTTTATGAGGGGGATTAAGAAAACGATAAGAGATGCGCGAAAGCACCGCTGCCACCGAGCTTACGGGAGCCAACGGATGGCTTCTGTTGGCAGGAGCATGAATAAGAACCGCTTTAGTAAGCTCTTCAGACACCCGGATTCTTAGATGACAGATGCATCGCGAGAACCTTGTCTGATAATTGCCAATGTGTCAGCTTTTCATTTTGTTAATCAAATTTAGATCTTGCAGCTAGATAATTTTTCACTAACTTATTATCGATAAAGTTCGATTCTGAATACGTAAGGTTGAATCATTGTTTATGTCGTCATGATAAAATATTTGTTTGACAAAATTGCACAAGGAAACACGATTTAATAATTATAATAATTATTGTGGTTTTTATATAATTATTAAGATATGATATCAAATTTGTTTCGGGAAAAATTTAATTAATAATAAAAAAATGTTCAGTAATTTTCCTTTGCCCAAAACAATCTTGTCAATTTTATATGAAGTAAAAACATTTGACACGACACGCATGCCTTTTTAGGACGGCTGTAACATATTTTCAATTTAATAAACCTCGAAAATGCCGCGCACCCTCTTTCGACGGAACTCGCGTGCCGGGTTGGGTTCGGCTGGCGGGCGATAATTCCGAAAACAAATGAAGACTAATGAGGGGTGGGTCCCTGCGAGATCTGGGAAAGAGTGAGAGCGAGGGAGACAGAGTGCGGGAGACGCGAGCCTGAAAGGGTTCAAGGAGCCGCTGCTACCCTTTAAGGGGTGAGAAATGTTAAGCTTAAACGTTACGGCCCTAGGGTTAGTTGCCTTTGCGTGTGCCTTCCATCGGGGGCTTTAAGGGATGATGTATTATCGAGCAGCGTGCTCAAAATGTGCTACGTACTTTGGTCGCACCGTTCCCGAGATGCGGTAATGTGACGTCACGTGTAATATGAGCTTTTAAGCGTAGCTTTATATACGTTTCGCCGCCGAGCCATCCGCGGGGTGAATTAAATTTGGTCACGTCGATTACAACTCGTTGACGCGACGCGATTTCGAATTTTGACTATATACACTTTTCATTCGCAATTATTGTACGATATTGCTACAATATCGCGTCACAATTTTTTCGGGTCTAAATATAAATCGCGTGTTTTACGAAGTTGTCGACGTCTTAAATTTTACGCGTGAATTTGCAGCTATAAAACTTAAGGAACGTTTTAAAGACACTGATTCGAAGCCTGTCACGCAGCTTGCGAACAAAGGGGGGTAGTCCTTCAAGCTCTCTTCGCCTTAAATCTCCTTGATCTCACCACTCTGAGATACATAATAAATTAATTCGCGTATTTTCCTGTCTGTCTTATCTATTCAAATCTATGCAAAACAGGCGTTAAAAACGCCCTTCTTGCTGCCAAGGCGTTAACCCTTGCGGAGCTCGATCTACCCCTCTTTCCATAGCCTCTTTGCTTCCTCTCTGTTACTCTCTCCGACTCGTTCGTCGTTTCTCTTTCCACCCCGCGTTCTATCCTCTAGCTACTGCTGGTTGGATGTCTTTGCACACCCACCCTTTGCGCCCGTTCTCATTATCGCGTCGCAGCAACCCCTAAAATGCCACCCTGGAAAGGTCCCTGGCACCGATCTAAGCTCTACGAGGAGATATTTCGAGAAAGGACGAGAAAATTGCTATCTCTCTCTCTTCCTTCTATCTTTATTCCACTACCGCGAAATTTTCTCTTTGAAGTTGAGAAAGAGTGCAAAAATGACGGATCTTTTAAGAAATTGGCAATGCTCAGCGATGTATAAATTTTTATTTTCTTCATTTATTATGTTCATGATTATATAAATATTATAAATAATTTTAATTTTAATATTATACTGTTATTATTAAAGGTGTAATAATTAAAATTCAATAAACGCGCTAAAAATTGATAACGTAGAATAAAAAAAAAATAATCTTATCAACACATATGACATTTTTATCATATAATAATTAAAAATTTATTAAATATATACGTATAAGTTTTTATATTATTAATTATTAACAGCGTTTAGAATAATAAATGTTAAATTTAATAACTGGATATATCAGTCCGATTACGTGACATCGCGTAAATGTAGAACGCTATTAAAGAGAAATCGGGTTGAGATAAATCGATTCCAAGGATATCGCGAGACGTTATCAGATTTCTATCTCTTAGGCTCGCTGGATTTTCAACGATAGGAAAGAAGACGAGAGATGAGACTGAGGCTAGAGAGAGCGTCATTAGTTACCGTCGTTTCCAGAGAAAGGTCCCGGTTGCTGGACCTGATTAAAAGACGGAACACCCCTTGCAAGACGCATTGGGGAGGTGAAATGTGACGCGAATTTAAAGGATCCGCAGTGATTCGACACTCTGGGGTGGACAGGAACAACCCTTAAAAAGGTTCCCTTTAAGGACCGCACGCTCGAAGGGTTGCCGCCGCGTTCGGTTTTCCGTACACGTGAAAGAGCTCTTTAAACGTGTCGCATCGTAAATCAGGTGCGACGGTATCCAAGTTCGGAAGAGGAATATAATCTGACGATCGTAGCAGACCACGATAGGACTTGTCGCGATTAGACCAATCTAACAGTCAACAAGATTTACGATACTTTCACATTTAGAGTTATAACAGTAGTATTATGCCAATAGCGATATATTTACACGAAATAAATCCCATAAACATACATAAAATATACAATAAAAATCTACACTTTCCACAATGATTGGTCACAAATTACAGGTTCAGTAAAAAGGGAGATCCGCTTTAAAGGAAGTCGCGAATGTAAAACGATCCAGGAACGAAGCGACAGTTTTAAACTGAGCGTTCTTAACAATCTCCCCCAAATGAGGTAAAGGCCACCTTATTGAAACAGGGGTCGCGATTTTTCCGGTTCTCTCTCCTCAACCTCTCTGCCACCCTGCTTCTCCCTGGTAGGCGGTTAATTGACACGGGAGAGCGGAAAGAGGGAGGGCAGATTGGGGCTGCACGAGCTGTTCTTGTTAACTCGAATCTTGGCACCTTGCGATTTTTCATCCCCTTAGCCAGACTGACAAAGACGACGGCCTCGGCCTCCCGGGACGTGCGCGATCGGGGTGTTTTCATTCGTGGACAATCTCAGCTACGATCAGCCGTGTGGTGTCTGTCATCGGATACATTAATTTTCCCTGAACTTGTGTTTGCTTCCAAATATATTGAGCAGCTCTTAAAAATTATTATAATATATAGCAAATTCCAAAACAATTCATCTTTCAGATTTATTATATTACAAGATTTTACGATTTGAAAATTTAGTTTGTGCTTATTATAATTAATATAAGTACTTTTTAGTAAAAATAAGAAAAATATTATCGATATTGAAGAAAATGCTTTTATTGATTACAAAACTTGTTGGCGCGACGCGATTTTAAATTTATAGATTGTATTTTTCATTTTCATTCACAATTATTAATGTAATATCTTAACAGTATCTTCAAGCCTAAAACTAAATCGCGCGAATTGTGTCTTATAAATTTTTATAAAAAAATTATTATTAAGATAGTAAATGTTTCACTTAAACAAAACAAAAATATTTTCTCACAGAATAAATTTAATTTTATTTCGTAACATTCATTATTGTTTGTTTTTTGCTATTTTATTTTGTAAATTTACGAGCCTTTCTTTATTATATGATAATAAAGATATTTGTGCAATATAAAATTAATTGCTCTAAAGCACGTGTCATTCGATGTATTGAGATTGACGAAAGAGACGAAATTAGAAGCGACATCGGAGATCGAAAGGAAAAAAAGGTACACGGTTTGTTCGTCGGACTTCAGCGTTCTCATGAAGCCCTTAGGGAGCCCATAAAATTCGTCCCTGCTGTCGAGGTAGGCCCCGAACGAAATTTAATAACATCCCCCTAGTTACACCTCAATGGGCACCTTAACAACCCTGCACGGCCAGCCACTCGTCTCACACTCTCAATAGTGCTCTTCCCTTTCTCCTTATCAACCCTCCTGGCGTAGATATCTAATAAACCTCTTGAACACCCTTACCTTGTCAGCAATACCCAGTGGCTGGGCAGCTTTGAAAGTTCGAAAGGTGCTCGACTGACCGACCCTTCGCTAGACTGGATAGAGGCGCAACCTATGAGCTGACTGGCGAACCCGGAGCGAAAGGGTTGAAAAAACTCACAAGAACATCACTCGAAATAAATCGATCGATACTCGTTTATTGCACTCTAGCCAAACAATGTAGGTGACCCAATTGTACGAATTGTGCAATTAATCCGGGGCGGCGTGGTAAAATCGTATGTCAATAATTATTATAATATACATTATATCTCTAATACTTTAATATTCTTTAACATTGACAAGATGCTCTGACTGACATCAATGAAAAGTTAAGTTTGTTAAAATTTTCATAACGTACAGATTTCTCCTTTTTTATATCGTATTAAAAAGTCAAATCACACGCGTAGTTTCTGAGATTTATTTTAAAAATGTTACATAATTTCTGTGATTATTTAGACAAAGTGCCAATGATTTAAAGATTTGTGTTAGAACAATCTGTGGGTCGAATCGCGACGGCAAGAGGCGCAAAAGAGAAGAAAAGTTAAAGCTCCGGTACTACCGGGCGCGGCAGTGGCTGATTCTTGATTGAGCAGACCGGGGTTGCGGGGGTTGGACGGAAGTAGCAACGAGAAATCGACGGCAGGACTGCCATCCCGTAGTACGCCTCGGGGATAGGAGGGAGCGAAGCTCCGTTAAGCCGCTTATCATGCCGAAACAATACACTGTCGGTGCACCAGTATCAGTACCCGACCCTCACTGCTCCGGGCTAGTCCCATCAAAATTTGGAGCTTCGAACGAGTTTCAATGGAATTCATGCCACCCGACTGTCCTGTCGAACCGGCCGGATACCTAAAAACTTTTTCGAAAACGGCGACGGTAAAATTGTTTAACCCGTCGTTCATATTACATCGAACGCATTACTATTCCAAAGAAAAAGTCCGATTAAATGTATGCTAAAAATAATAAAATTTCATGTAATTATACGATGCATTTAATGAAATTTTTACATTTTTTAAACAATTTTTTTGCGAATAATACTACAAATATTATTGTACATTGTGATATTAAAAGTAAAAAAAAAAATATTCAACTCAATCGCTTAAGTTGGAAAGGTATTTTACCGCGTCGTAAGCCACTCGATGGCAAAGTTAACGAAGCCAAAGTTTATTCGCGACTTCTCCGTGAACACAAGAACCGAGCGGCTTCCTCGAAACGGAAAAGACAGAGTTCGCGCTCGGGGCTTAATCAGAGTCTTCTTCACTTAGAGGCCGGTGGCAAAACTCAATTTTGAGTCGGTGCCTGCCGACGCTCAATTTTGACACCCTTCGCAGCCACGAAGCTAGGCGTGCGAGAAGAGGGCGTCGACCCTGGCCCACCAAAGTTGCCGCAGTTACTCTCCTCCCGGGAGAAGCACAGCACCGGGGTTGTAAACTTAGTTATCTATCAGGGAGACGTGCCGAGAGGCTGAAGGTGAGCCTCACCGGAACCCAGGTACCCGCTCAAATTCGTTGCGACGAAGATGACGGAGGCTGCGCGTGTCTTTGATTAGAGAGCACCGACTTACCCGACAGTTTGAATCCCAACGGGTCCTGCGGGTGTCCGAAGGGGAATGGACGAGGTCCGAAGTGAAAGGGATGAAAGGCCTGATGTCCTGCAACGTGGGATGAATTCATGAATTGTCATCGTCGCGACTCGATGGTAAGTTGCGACAATTCGCGATTACCCGGATAATATTTGCCAGTTTGCATTTGTTAATTAAGCATTCTTAATTTATTTCTCCCTCTCGCGTAGATAAATTTGAATAAAAAGTTATTATCTTCGGTAGGTAAAGTTGTACTCACTTGTCTTCGATCGCGGTTCCCTTGGACCGTCCACAGTCACCTTGATTGCCTTCGACAAGGTGGCCACTTGTGGCGGTGATGTTTGCAGCATGATCGTCAGGGTGAAGCTTTTCCCTGAAACGAAAACGAGCACGTTGGGAGGTGAAAAAGAATTATCTCTTAGCGGTAAAACGAGATACGAGTTTTTCCCAATGGGACGATATAGCATATCGTGCTTTGGCTCCATTGCCAGACCAAAAACCATAAAGACACGGTTGATTCCGCGCTCCTCGGCTTGCGTAGGCTCTATTATTCATATCCAATTCGCCGACCGCGAAAATAAATATTCTCGCAGTATGTACAATCTCATGAATTGCATTTATTTTCTCGATTTATGCTCCGCGTTATTTGAACAATTATTCTATCAAGAGTACATTTTACATTTGTCGAGGTGAAACGGAACCGATAAACACAAAATAACAGCGGCATAAATTAAGCAAATGTTATAGTTTGCTACAGTAATATAATTCTTATGTGTTAAATTACATTTATATTGTTGATTGGGAAATTATAATATTGTGATGTAATATTACTTTCGCATTACAACGCAGATTATTCCAGCAATATTGCAACAACATTGCAACGTTCTAGTAATATTGTACAAATAGTAGAAATGTTGACAGCAAGCATCTGGATTCTATGGGATTGTTACTTTAGCAGGGATATGCTTTACAAGCATTTACGTAATGATGACTGCCACTTTATGTGTTAATCGAATTGACGTTCTGACGTTAATCGAATGGCTGCAGCTATCGCGATTGATTGGATTGAAATTTCTTGGCGGATTTAATCCGTAATATCGCAAAGGATATGTGCTTGACGGCATGCACGGGCAAAACGACAATGTACGCGTGGTGCGCTCGCTGGAAACAAAACACAAATGTGCCGGAAGTAAGGGGTGAACGAGTGACGCCACTGCGTCGATGTTTGTTCCTGCATAGGCTGGAATATGTTAATATTGCCGGCGCTAAACGCGACCCTCTGATATTCGCAGTCCCCTATCACGCGCGATTTCGTTGTTTTATCTTTCAACAACATTCGGTAGTTCGATAGATGAGATATCCTCCCCTCGTAATTTCGAAACGATAATTTGTCTGATATAACATCTTGAAATATTGCTTTTAACAAAATCTATAAAGCAAAAGTAGCAATTTCAATTCGGATTTAACGGTTGTGCGTAAAACATTTATTCTATTGTAATTTGAATTAATAAGCAGACGTTTATCGATCAACATTTTCGGTCTTCCTCAACATGAAATGAATTATAAATATTGTATAAACTGTGAATAACGTAAACCATAATAAATATCATAAAAATACAATAAAAATAAAAGTAATAACACACATACATATACATAACGAAATAAGATAATAATAAATTTCTGATTAACGAAATGTCATTTTGATATCCAAATGACAACTGATATCTTAGTTTGCTACCTACATTGCTAAATCTGTATCTCAAATATAATTTAAATCGCCTCTGCTCTCACTAAATAAAACGATAGTTAGATTTGACACTGTAACTTGTCAATTTGATATACTACATAGTGTCAAATATAACCACTGTTTTAGTAGAAAATAACGATATAACTTAGTTAGAGCAGTGATGCTCTATATTAGATAAAATTTGACACTACAGATTTAATAATGTGAATTTAATCATTTTTAAACATAAGCGGGTACCTTTGTTTCTTTTGTTGTAATATTATGTATCTTGTCGTGATTTTGGGTTGGTTGAGACTAAGATAACATACACTGAAGTACAGTATTTCTGATTTTTTAAATCTCGCATCGATATACATTCGCCTGTTTAATATTTTTCATTCTCCAAGTCCGACGATGATCTGAAATAATATTGGCAAACGCGTAGATGAAGCGCGGACTCGTAACTGGCCGGGCCGTTTACTAAATTTCGATGTTTTTGGCACAAATATTTCAATCGATGACGCGCGCGTCGCACGGAATTTGTCACGCGTTCGACGCATCGAACTCAGCCCCGGTAATCGCGCGTACGCGAAATAAAACGCGCGTGGACGGCTAGCCATCTCGTTTTGTCGCGTCGCGTCGCAATACCGAACGAAGAAAATAACAGCGGGCGAGATATGTTCACGAGTAAAGCAGGACATTTACGCGCTTTTCCGCGCTCTCTGCGACAATAAAGTTATACAGCTTATAATGGCGTCGCCAAGTGCGGCCGGCTCCCGGTATGTACACGCGCGTGGTCGGGTAGTTTTATTTTATAGTGGCGCGCGGCCGGCCCCCCGGTAAACGACCGCGTTTTTACGGTGAACCACGACATTTAACCGGCTTACCGCTCGTCGCCGGACGAAATACTGGACTTTAACTTCGCCAAGGGAGCCGTGCCATTTCCAACGCGTTCATCCCTTTCGCGATGCGCGGCGATTGGCCGCGCTATTTTTCGCGCCACGTTGTTTCACGGTGTCAATTCAAATATCTTATTGCGATTTTTACATTTTCTGCATTGTATTTTGTTTCATCTTGAAGTAGTGGACTTGGACGTAATGTCTATAATCGCGTAAGCATAATATAGTTGTAAGTGGTTGCGCTTGTAATAAGAATTAATCGATCACAATGACATTCTTTTCGTATTTGACTATAATTAGTCAATTCCTACAACTATAATCATTTCTAATTTTTGCGGCTATTGTATTATAGAACAGGCATTATGCATTGTCTACGTAAAGCAAGCTTGATATAAGAAGTAAGAGAAATTGACCAATCATAATAATTGAATACGAGAAGCATAATCGATAATAATCGGTCAATTTCTTATTCTTACTTCTGTGGCGAACGTATCGCTACTACCTCAACTGCAACACAAAATTAAAAAGCTCGGCAAGTTCCAATCGAATTTATGTATATACCTATAAAAGTACAGTTAGTCTAATCCGATGTATAAAGGACCGCTCAGCTGTTCGAGAGAAAAAAGGTAAACACGCGAGTCAGGCAGCAGCGGTCGAGCGGAATTTAAGCACAACGATTGCCGAGATATTTAAATGGCACACGCAATCGAAAACTTTGCATCACTGCACAATTTTGATTTAGTCGAACCGTTAATGTAGCCGTAGGCCCGATCGCGATGCAATTGCGCGTTTCGACACAATTATAATAAAAACTACGCGCTTCATTTTCTGACGAAGGTTTTCGCACTTTTCACTGTCGTCCTCATCCCAGTGACCACCAAACTTTTTACACCAAGTTTGTTCCACACATTTTAGACGACGCATAATAGTTAAGGCGCGCTATAAGGATAAAAAAATCTTAAATAGAATAGTAAGATATAATTAAAAAGCAAATCAATATTTTGGATTTGTTACTGCTTACGTTATTATGTCTGTACTGTGATTAGATTAGCTAATTCGCGTATTGCTTACATCTTAGTGTATTATGTTTTTTTGTGTCGTAGTCTTTATAAATGTTCACTTCTTGATCTTATAATATTATATAATTAGCATCTGTGTTCCGTTAGAAAGAATTGAACATATTCCACCCAACATTTTTCTTTAATTCTATCGGTGTCTCCTTTTAATTCGATACTTGAGAGAGAAAGAGAGAGAGAGAGGAACCTTTATTAGCTCCAGTAACTACTATATCATACATAATCGAAAAATCTAATTCAAGCTATCTCTTTTTATTATATAATAAATCGATAATGACAACCTTATATTCAATCAGCTCTTATTACGTTTATGTCATTTGATAATCTCTCTCGGTTTTATGTTTTATCCTCTTCTTCGAAAAACAAATTTTCTAATAAGCGGTTTGCCATACGTATTTAAGCAGTACAAAGATATTTCGAATTTCGTGTCTCACGTTGAGAGATTTCGCGGCTGAGAGTTAACGAGACCGAAGTTTATTGCCAACGTGGTGTCAGGAGCGAGAGGGCGGCGGCAATGGGAATCAGGGGTGATGGCAGGCATTTTGAGGGTGTTTATGAGGCATTATGTGTAACTCGCTGGAAGAACGATCTACCCTTCGGGGTGTACAACACTCTCCCCTCTCCCCTCTGACTTATCTATACGTCTAGCGAGATTCTAATTCATCGGTTGTATACGAATGTGACTCGTGATGGCCAATTGCATGTGAAAACTGACTTTCCCAAATCTTTTCGAGATGTTGCAATGATCCGATTACAACAAAATTGATTTACTGCGCGATTCACGAGAGTGAGAAATATTGCGCGCGACCTTTTTGGCCGTTCTCTTGTTTTAAAGCGCTTCTTTATGCACCGAGGATTTTATTCACCCTACGGTAGTATCCTTTGCATTCACAAACAAGTTTGAAAAAATTACTAATCCACACGCATCGTACGTCACTTTTATCCAACAAAATATTGCCTGGTCGCAGACGCGATTGAGAGGATCCATAAAGATTATGATGTCCGAGTGGACTGTAGAATTTTTATACTGGACTTTTTCGAAAGATTATTGAAGGGCTCGCTAGTTTTGTGCGGCAGTGTGCGTTCCACTTAACGTTCGCAACGCTCGCATGCATCATTCCATTCTTGTCATCATTTGATGACAAGGATGAAATGATACTCACGAGCGTTTTACGAGCATTAAGTGGAATGCACCTATATTAGCATTTCTCAAATCAAGATTTTAAACCTTGTGCGAAAGGAAAGATTCTTGCATAAGGTAATTAATTGTAACCGAGGTACGTTTAGTTTTAAGTTTTTGTAAGAACACAAGATGTTCTCACTTATCTTCGCGACGGTTTAACCCAAACTGTTGAAAAATTAATTCAGGCAAGGTTGGCTCGCGTCCACTTGCGCGATGGTAAGAATTGCACGAGAAGACACGAGAACGCTGACGTTCTTCGCCCTAAGTTTACTCAGGGATCATGCAGTGTTAAAAACTCCCCTGTTTGCCGGCGAAGCGAGTGCGAATACGGGGGCTGTTCGGATCGTTATTTCGGAGTGTTTGTCGTGTTTTAAGATTCTGACGTTTTGACTACCCGAATCGTAGTAAACGAGGCTGAGCGTGTGCCTACGTGACATGTTTGGAAGGAAATACTTTTTTATCTTTATCTTCTCACACGTGCGTTATTTAAAATCGTAAACATTGGGAATCAATTAACGCAGTTCATTATAAATATTAATAATGCACAGACAATATTAAATCTTGTAAGACCGTGAGAATTTAAACCAATGAAAAACCAATGAGAACAGAGGCCGTAACGGTCAAGCTGAATCTTGAATGATTCTATATAATTGCGTGCGAATTCATATACTACAGGACTCGTTGACCTTCTATTTATTGAAATTATTTATATACTACGTTTATTGATTTTTAATTGCGCGTCGAATATTTTTCAGACGAAAAATGCAAGCTCTAAATTATACCGCAGTAATATCACATTGTTAATCAATTTCACTCTAATTTAAAGCTTGCGTTTCAAGTCCGACAAAACTTCGGCAGTTAATTAAAAAGGTACACATGTAGTATATAAATTCACACTCAATTATATGTATAGAAGTAATCAAAACTCAGCTTGATTGTTACGATCTGTTCTCGTCGGTTTTTCATTAGTTTATGCGTCCATTTATTAATTTTTTAACAATATGGCATTATTGAAAATGAATAATTATAATTGCAAAATGAACTACCATCACATAAATTAAGGATTGTTTAGCAATAACTTCGCCAAAATCTCGCTGCAGAATAATTTTCTGCAAGCATCAGTTTTAATCTTAAACGAATATTAGAGATCAATTAAAAATAGATTATGATATATTATATGATATATTTTATTAATATGAATTTTTATCAATTTTTTGACAGTGCGATGTTATTAAAAATAGCGCCGGAGTCTTGCTGCATAATAAATTTCTGCGAGGATTAACTCTAACTTTAAACGAGCCTTCTGCAATTGAAAATTGATTACAAATTATAATAATATATTTTTATCGTTTCTTTAATAATACAGTATTATTAAAAATAGATGACTGATTACAAGAAAAAAGTCATTCGAATAAATACGTCTGATTGTTTCGCAATGATTTCGCCGAAATCTTGCTGCGGAATAAATTTCTGCGGAGATCAGTTCTCACTGGCAATAATCGCAACGTCGAGCATAACGACTTTTAGATGCGACAGCGCGACTGGGCGAGCGGTCATTGAAGCGTTTGCAAAAGCCTGCCTTGCTGTTGGCGCGACGGAATGAGGAGCGAAAAATATCGAGAAAATAAAGTAGGGAAACGTGGAATTAATATATGTGAAAGAAACGGATATGTACGTACGCATGCGACTCATACTACAGACTAGAGCGGAAAATAATGTTTAATCGGTAGAAAATCTCGGCGCAGTCATCCGCCATAGGATCGTGCGTTCCTCGACCTCCCCGCGCTCTCGCAGTCCCTTCTGCGATCCCTTACTTGACCGAGGGATGGATTTTTTAATTTTTAATTGGCAAAAAACGTTGCCGCGAGGTGGTCGCCAGCGAGATTCGCCAACCGCTCTCGCGGATTTAACTGGCGTATTCGGATTCTCGAAAACGCTAATATCATCTAACGTCCAGAAGATTTTATTTCTTTCGAGAATTATCCATCGTTGTGTCACTGGAAATTCATTTTCATATTTTAAAAACACACTTGTTTCGAAATGTTGCTGTTTGTTAAACAGCTTGAAGTAAGTCTTCTAGAAATTGGAATAAAACCGTTATTGTTTATATTTGATATTACAATTTTTATTTTCTGAAAGTCTCAACAGAGTCGTTATTTCAAACACATCGTTGTTCAGTAATATTGTAATAATCGTTACCGGAATCTTTCCGGTTCATTACAAGGCAAATTAAAGAGGGGAATTTTTTTCGTTAATTGTGGATATATTTTAAAGCAAGTTATTGTTCATGCAGAGATAAATGATTGTAGAGGAATTACTTTTTACGTTTCATAAATAGAATTACGTTGGAATGTCGATTCAGACATGAAATAACTCATCTCGAATCTTTAACCTTAGTTACTCGTGTATCATACCTTATTTAAAAAGTATGTACAGCGTACTTACGTATTATACTCGGCAAATTTTTCTCTCGTTAATTGAATGTTGCTAATGAAGTGCATGGCGATGGCTGCTACAATTATGTGACGTATTAGAGGTTATATAATAAATCGAGGGGAACTTTTTCGTGAATTGGATACGCTTCAGAGTATTGTCGATGCAGGGGCAAATGATTGCAACATCTGTTCGGTCGACCGAACAGAGACTCGCTATTTTAAAAGGTCGATGAAAACGAACGTCGACCCTTCTCAACGACGACGGACCTACGACTTATTAAATCATTTTCGTCTCGTACGAAACTCCTCGCAGTAGTCTCCACGAATAACTTATCACGGTTTTGTTATCGCGAAATAATTTTACGCTGTCTAAAATAAGAATCGTTCGTTATCATTTTAATTATTTGAGAATATATATTACGTATTTTAAGCATTCTGTATAGCGTGATAATAATAATAGCAACAACTAAAGTGTCGATATTTGTACCACGTGTTTTTCTTTCGAATCATAAAGGAGATATCGAAGATTCGGATCTGCGCTCGTTACAGAGCAGCAGACTCGGACCCTATGTTGCATCGCTTGCTATGCGGCGGTGATCTAAAACGAGTCCTCCTTCCACGAGAAGGGCGGAAAAGAGAGAAAAAGAGCGAGCGGAGCGGAGAGCGGAGGCGGCTCTACGGGCGAGACGGGGATCCATTGCGCCAGGACATCGGTCAGGATCTGGCTGTCGATAGTCGGAGCTTTCCCTCGGATTCTCGCGCTCTCTTCCTGCCTATACCTCGGCCGGACCGTCATAAAACACAGGTAACTCCGGTATTTATGCCCGTCGTTTTTACGCCCGTCGCCACCCTCACCCGTCGCGCCGCGCCGCGCCGCGCCGCACCGCGCTCTCCGCTCATCCGCACCCCCAACACCAATGCATCGCAGAGAAACACGTATATATATAGCCGCGTCTCCGTACGGCCCGTGACTCCTAGCAGTCGGAGGATGACGCTAATCCCTGTCGGGAGCGAAAGGGGTGGCCGAGTGATATACGCCCCTGCGCCGGTATGATAATATTCCGCCGTCACCCCCGTAACCCCTGACCGTAGTCGTTACACTAGCTAGCCGCACACATCGCGCTAGAAGAGGTCCCTCTTTTGGGTCAGCGCGTAAGACCGAATGAAAGCGATTATAGTCGATTAAAAAGGGTCGGAGCAAATCGGCGCGGGTCGGAAAAAAAAACCTTGTCGGCTAGACGCGTCCATGTTTTTTTTTCACATTCGACGTTATCCGTGTTTATCCGTAATAAAAAGATTTACTCGGAGAACCGTCAGCTATTACAGTGCATGACAAAATCAGCATTTCATGAAGAATAATCGACGAACATTTGCGAAAAAAATCGGACAATCATTGTCGTATTTCTTAAAGAAAATTATTTGTATGTACGATAATATATTTAGGCGGAATATCTTTTTGAGATTTTTGAAGAGCGCTCTGTTATTTCGTACAAGTGAGTCAATAAATTGAAATTAATTTGCTTTTCCGTGAATACGTCGGTCAAACAAGACCCACGCAAGTAGATGAGCGTTCACTCTTAATTTTCTTTACACCACGAGGATTTCGTCTGCCGTCCTATCAACGTCGTCACGCATTTCGACCACGATCAATTCTCTTCGTCCGCATTCGCAATATTAAATTGGCCTGACAAAGCCCGCGGGCCAGCATGAGACAAATATTTGCAGCCGAAAAAGTCGGTAGTGCGCGTGCATGGGATACGTACAAAACAACGAAGGCAAAAAAGCGAGCGGAACGCGTGAGGAATCTGTATATAAAATGCACTCCGGGGCTCCTCGTCTCGTTGTGGTATTATGCAGCGATATGCGCGAAATGACTCGCTAACAAACATCATAAATTGTCGAATTGTTAACAGGCTCTGTTTGCCCTTTCTTGTGCTGATAATAACATCCACCTCTTTTATCGTCAGTCTTTACGCGATGCGCTTAATTATCTTTCCCTTTTTTTAAAACCTTTTCTTTCTTATCGTTGCGTTTGTCGCCCGCGCGCATAATTTTCAACCGATGCGTTTGAAACGCGTCGCGATAGACGGGATTCGAACTTAACGTGGAAAATTCGCCGGCGAGTGGAAAGAAAAATTTCGCCGATCTGGACGATCGTGATACGCGCGCTGAACAATCTTGCATCGCTCTCATATAGGGAATCATACATAGGGAGGCAAATCGTTGCATACTGGCGGCAGTTTGGGGCTGCCCGTAATACAGTAATGAGAGCTTACTGCCATGGAAACCAAAGCCGCTTACAGCCAACCACTCTACTTCCATCCACCCCCTTCGCATCCTCGTCCTTCTCGTTTCCGCTTTGCCATCTCATCCCACAATTTCCTATATATCCATGATATCTTCGTTCGCGAGAGTTCCGCTAAAAAATTCTAGAAACCGTTTCCCGGGTCTCCATTGTTCCGTAATGAATATCTTGGACCTATCCATTTTTTTTTTTTTTAAGGGAATGTGAAGTGCAACGTTAGGTATCCTAAATCCTAACACGCCGTTTGGATGATATTTGATATAGTCGTTCGTAAGTGGGCTAATATACTCAGGGAAAAAAATGCGCCAACGTATTATATAATAATAATTTATGATTATGTATGCTGAAATAATCGTCGAAATAAGTTTGATGGGAAGAAGAAGAAGAAGAAGAAGAGCGTCGTTTAGGGTCTACCGTCGGACAAAAGTAGCGCGGGACCCGTCGATATTGCAAACCCCGCAATTTCCTTTTCCAATTTGCCATAAACAAGTCGACCACCCCCTCGTTAACTGGGTACCGCCCGTGACTGCTCTCTCGAAAGTTCGACGTCGTCGGAAAAAGACGAGAAAAGGGAGAGCGATAGGAGAAGACGGACGAAGAGAACGGTGGTGCAACTCGGTCGAATTAAAGGAATTAAAGGACGCCTCGTTATTCGTATCTTCCGATTCCCTACCTCGATTTCTACACGTGGAAAAAGGAGGGACGAGAGAGAGAGAGAGAGAGAGGGAGAAGAAGAAAAAAAGGATGTTGAAAAGTTTGCTCCTTTCCTGCTGCGATCTAGGTTCTCTCGTGCCGCGCTACTTCCCTCCCCGCGCTACTTCAAGACTCTTCAAGGAGCGAACGTTTGCATTAACCATCCGTAATGGCTGCGATTATTAGGGAGCATTATTCAGAGACCTCGGACCCCAATTTTTTTTCTCCCCTCGTCGCCCTTGCGTTCCGCCTTCTTGGACGAAAGGAACGTTGAATTATTGAAACGCGGAGCCGGGAATTAAAAAATCTCCGCGTGCGCTCTCTTACCCTGACGTGGCGTGGAGTGGGCGGCAGTCGCGAGGAGATACCGGGTCACGATATTTGTCGCTTGAATTAAAAATGAGGATGGAATGAGGGGCCAGGTGGTGGCTCGTGCTTGGCTTTCGACGCGGGAAAAACGAGGCCATCAGTCGGGGCACCACCTTAATGTAGCGAGGTCTGAATGATTTAAGATGCTGCATTGGAAGAAAAGGCGAACCGGCAGGAAACTGATCGAGTTTTCGACGTGGATCAATGGGAGTTATTTTTGTAAAGCAAATATATGGAAATATCGAGAATGAGAAAGAAGGAGATATATATTTTTAAGTATTTTATCATATATATTTATAAATATTTAAATGAAAATTGTAATTGTGTTATAGATTAGTGGTATCTTGATAATTATTAGAACTTACCTCTGCCACTTCGACCGACGAACCTAAGATCGTTGAATTTGGCGACCTGATTCTTCATTACAGCAGTAGAATTTCGTAGTTCCGCGCAACAATTCTCATCATTTCCGGCCCGAACAGACACGAGGGTACCATCTCCGACCTCACCGAGGGCTACTACCTTGAAGGCTACCGGAAGGGTCTTGTTCGATCTCCAATGTGACGGCAATACCGTGCACACCACATGTGGGCAACCTTATATGATCATAAAAAGATCATTTTTAGTTTTTATTAACTCTATTAAACCATACATATTATTATAAAAAATGAAAAATATTTCTTACATAATAAATTATATTAAATTAATATGTAAATGCACATCAAAAGAAAAAACGGATTTGATGAAGTATCTGAAATTGAGTTACGTACACATATCGGAAAATAATTTTGTTTTGATTAAAATAATTATGTAGGACGCGCAAACTGAATAGCCAGAATAAAATTATTTTCTGATATGTATGTAACTAAATTGATGGATTTTTAATAACACAGTTTTCTCCGTATTGGATTTTAATGCTAATGTTTTGCGTGAATGTATACATATCCAATTCTAAAATCACTTTTTATAAACGTATTATAAAATTTTGATAAAAGTTAGAGTGACATTTTTTAATTTTTTCTACTTTTTATTTTTATTTCTTTTACTGTGTATATTATGGTAAGAATATTGTAACAAGAGAAGAAATAATCGTACAGTGAAGTTACTCTTATAATATATGAATGCGTTGCGTTTACCTGTACGAATAAGTTCTCCAGGATGCTCGGCGAGAAGTCCGTCCAATGTCCTCTCGGCAAGCAGATCGGCGGTGAGAGCATAATCGGGAAGGTGATTTCCGCCGGCCGAACTTTGAGGAGGAACCTCATTGGCCAAGTGCATTCTTCTCCTCGAGGACGAGACCCGGGTCCTCCGTATTCTGGGCCCGCCGATCTGACTCACTGCTTGGTGCACCTGATGACTGCCACGCACTGATCTGGGATCAGGATAATCTAGGCCAGGAGGCCGATCCTCGGGTCGAGCATCTCGCGAAGGATTCGTCATGAGAACGATATCATTAGTCCTCTTGACTGAGATGTCACCTTTCCCTACGAGCTTTTCGAATGGGTTCGGTTGCTCAATTGTTTACGTTTTACTTTCCCGAATTCTAAACGAAGTATCTGTACACTTGATCCGTGACGCGAGGAGAGCGATCCTTATGGTCAATTTCGATATGATGCTTGGTCCTTTGATGATACGTCTGTTTATGATATACTTTATATTCCGCGAACTGAAGGTCTGTCGTTGACAATTAATTGTTATATTCGACATGCAAAGTCGGTCAATATATCGAGTCCACTTGATAAGAATCTAAGAACGTTACAAGCACAAGTTGGTTTCACCGATGATGAGGAACACATTACGAATGCCGATATCTGCTTTCGGCGAGAATTGGATTTGTTTTCTTCGGAATCGAGAGGCACGCGCGACTTTTCGGCGGCTTTCTCGGCCCTCGCGGGCCCCTAGGCTTCTTTGATCCTTATTTCATTATCCTACCACGGGGTGCAAGCATGGGGCATCCGTTTGTAAATTCTTCGTCTCGATTGCCAACTCGCGGAGAAAATTCGTTTTATTGGAATCGTCGGCAATCTCGACGACCCTTGTTTCTACGCATTCTTTGATCGAGCCGTCGTCTTCTTACCGAAGATAATGTGGAGCACTCGCGACTGTTCGAAACACTTAAATCCGATCATCGAGTTAAAAGTCAGTTTCGCAAGCAGATTTATAGAGATACCTTTCTTATCACGCGTAATCTAAAACACTGATTCGCACTGGCGGTCCTCATAATTGGTAACATTACATTCACGCACTTTCTCTTTTTTTTTGTATTTTCACTGAAATTGGACCAAAAAGCTTTTTCGAATAAACCATCTGTTTCCGTACGCAGCGCTCACCGCGCGAAGTTTCGTCGAACTTTAGCGGAGGACCGCGCACATGTATATCTTTCTCGTCGATCGAAATCTTGATCAATTACAGAAAACGTATCATCTGTATGTATATAATAACGATTAAAATTCTTAACACTGACGTTGAGATTTCAACTTGCAACAACCGAGGCAACGATCACGAATCCGCGATATTTTTGATTCCCGCACATCATCACCAATCCGCGAGATTTTTCCTATTCGAGGATCACAGACTGTGTCCTGACGGTCCTTCGCCGTCAGAGTTGGTTCCACTCGCGACGGTGGTGATTTTTCACCTGGCCGATGCTTCTGCGGATGTCAGGGCAGCTTCTACTCGGAGGAGGTAGGATTGGGTGTTTAACTCGCGCGGTCTCGTTTCGGTTCGGCGGTGGAAGATGGCGGCTTCTGCGGTGGAGCCGCGCGGTGTGGTTGCGGTGTATTTTTGAGGCTGCCGCCCCCAGCCACCACCGAGACCACCCTGGGTAACCCTCCTCGCCCCCTCTTTTCGTCGCCCCCGCAGCCCACCGCGCGTCTCTTCCACACCGCCGCTACCGCCGCTTGCCCCCACGGTACCAAGCTGGTGGGGATTGGTTTTTCAAGCGGTGGGGAAAAATCTTGCTACCTCTCTCTCTCTGAAACTCCGGCTCCCTTTTTCTCTCTTTGTCCCTTCACCGCTGCGCGCACAACCTCCCGCAGGACTACCGCCGCGTTCCTGACGATACTCCCGCCGATGATGATTCGCGAACTACACAAACCTCGCGCTGTCTTCTCGACTCCGTCGTTGTTGCATCGAACGACGGAGCGCCCGCGGGATGTTCAGGGGGAGATAAATTTCCGTAGATGAATCTCGGCGCCTCGTATCACCGCACCACATGATTGCGGTCCTAAATTGACACTCTAATCAATGATTTCAACCGTACACAGTCGTAAGTCATCTATGTGGGGCACGGATAAGCAACGGTCTTGTTGAATGCAGATACGTGGTACACCATACCACTACGCAGCAAATGATTTCTCTTTGCCATTCAACGATATAATAGCATTTGAAAAAAATTTTTTCACCTATACGTATGCTATGTAAAACGTATCACGAATTCTTTATTGTGACAATTTTACCTGTTATCTATGAAATGTTGTAAAAGTTTCACTTTGAACACCATGATGTTTCACTTTTAGCGTCACTATTTAAATTTTTTCAATGATCACAAATTAGGTCCGGTCACTTATTTACGCATAATGATTAAATTAATATAAAATAATATTTTTACCAGATATTATATAATATGTTGTAATAATATTTGGAAAAAGAAAGAAATGTAGTTTCTTTCTTCTGCTTTATTAAAGTAATTTGTTTACGCAGTTTTTTGTAAATATAAAATAGGGACTATTAATCAATTTTGCATATTTGAAGATTTCCATTCGTCAGACGTAGAAAATATTTTTGATGATTCTCCCGCGCGATCTCTCTTGTCTGTCAGCCGGCTTTTTGCCCTTCTCGGTTGATTTCTTCCTGCTTCCGTCGTTCAACGACCACCCCGCGCGAGACTGCGAAACGACACTGGGAAGAAAGGGAAAACAAAGACTGCAGAAAGGCCCCTTGTGTAGTTGCGTTTAGCACCGAGGAATACGGGGGTTGCGCGACGCTTGGGGGTTCTCGGAGAGTGTGGGCCAAGAACTGAGTCGAAACGAAGATGCAGTCAGGGTGAAAGAAAGAGAAGGATACATTCTTACGCACAAGTAGTCGTCTCCAGATTCAACAGACCAAATAAAGAAATACGACACAAGAGTTATTATAAAATGTTTTTTTTATCGCCTACGCAATTTAATATATAACACGACTCATTATGGTAAAGATATCAACACAATGCAAATCACGTCTTTATGAAAATTATAATAACGTAACATAGTTTTTATTTTTTCATTTTTTTATTATATTACTATTAATTTCATAACAACAGTTACACGTTTAATTTCATTATCATTCATCGATCTTATATGAAAATAATTGTGTTATATAAGAGACGGCCGACGGAATTTGAGGGACGGATTGTATTACCGAATAAAACGAAAAACGCGACGCGGGAATTGTAACACGTCACTCTTTCGAGAGACAACACGAGACTATCGATCATGACGTATCTGTACCAAGCCGAGAACCCCTAAACGAGACGAGCCCCCTATATAATCCCGCGCCCCTACGAGGAACAATGCGACGCCTCCGCGTCCCTAAATGCAGACCTTCCGAGATGCATTTCGTTACGCATAGGTTCTTTCATTGTGCAATAATGTCTCCCCTGCTTTCAATTACATTCGCCAGTATTCCGGATCTTGGTGTTTGTATTTTATTATTTCTGAGAATGACATTGATAATAACACAGACTCTTTTCCAAGTATTACAAATGTATGAGTTTCACAAATAAATTAAAAGCGTCTCTTTTTGTATTTACACTTTGAGTTAATTTTGTTTATTTTTACGTAGAAGAACGGTTTTGCTGAAATATCTAAAAATTTAGGTAAATGCAAATCTACAAACAATAAACTTTATTAGATAATTCTGTAGGACGCTCAAACTGGTTGTTATAACGTCAAAGCTTTTTGCAGTATTACTCATCATGTTTGAGATTTTACGTAACTTTTTTAATGGTTCAATTAAAGTATTTTTAAATTTGTATTTAGTTAAATTTTTGGAAATCTCACACACTAAAAAGAAGCCATGTAGTTTTATCTGAAAATTACATGTTTATGACTGGAAAATTACTTAAATATTACTTGAAAATTTAAATTTCTAGTTATACAATGTTTAGGTAATTTTTCAGTCACAAACATGTAATTTCCATGTAAAATTACGTGGATTTTTTTTAGTGAGAAATTGTTCTTTCTATGTAAATTACTATACGTAACACAAAACTAAAAAAATATATATGTATAACATCATTGTGAAAAACATTGTAACTGTATTATAGCTTAATATCAATCTAAATATGGAAATAAAAACGAGTTGTTACTATTACTCTTTGTATGTGTCCTACTGCTAAATTAAAAAAGACATTGGAAATATTTTCTCCTTAGAGGATGTCAAAAAATATTTCAGAATTGTGTGACAGTTTTAAATTTTTGTCTCATTGAAAAAACGAGTTAGGGAGAAAATGTAGTGAGAAAGAATGTGATTGGTATGCCAAGAAAACTCTAGGGCAATTTAACCGTTGGCAGACAAATAGTGTTAAAAGATCGAACATAACATGCGATATTTGGATTTCGTAAGCGACTGAACTCTTTGTTATAAAAAAAAAAGTCATTTAGAAATTATACGCACGCCGCAATATTAAATTGCTTTTAAAATATATAACTTTTTGCTGTTTAAAAAAAAGAGAGCTATTAAAAGTATTAATTCAATATCTTTTATATCCTGGATAGCGAAATTTTTATGAACTATTATGTCTTTATACGAAAAATTTATATAGTATTATATTTATTTTATTTTATATATATGCGCTTAAAATCTAATAGTCTTTCAATATCTGTTGACGAGCATTGTAATCATACGATGTGAACAGCAACAAAATAAAAACTCAATAACTTCACTACCACGTGCAGCCAAAACGATTGGTTTCTGTTTGCGTTTCAGCTATTTTTTTCGCCGATGTCCTTTCGACGGTAACGATATTCTATAACCCGCATACGACACGGTTCACATAATCGGTGAATCGATGAATGTGCGACGATTATCGACGCACTTTTCCGTTCATATTAATTGGACCAATTATCGATGCCGGACAATTATCTGCTGGTGACCAATTAGATCGGCAGGATTTGTCGATGACGTGTTGCCTAGCAAGGAATAATTGGAGCTTATGCATTGTTAAAAAAAAGAACCAGTAAAAAGTTACGTTAATAGATAATCGGTTTAACCAAAATTCGCGAGATGATTTCGATGAATGATCGTAGTTAAAAAAAAAACATGCTATTGCTTCGGAGAACAATTTAAGCATAACATTTGAACAATAAGTGAACCTTATGTTTGACATGTTTTTTTTCTTTTAAATTACCTTCATTTTTAGTTTACAATTTTACGGTGCGATTTAAAAATTATTTAAAACT